GTTTGTCTCAAAAGCTGGTTTGTCTCAAAAGCTGGTTTGTCTCAAAAGCTGGTTTGTCTCAAAAGCTGGTTTGTCTCAAAAGCTGGTTTGTCTCAAAAGCTGGTTTGTCTCAAAAGCTGGTTTGTCTCAAAAGCTGGTTTGTCTCAAAAGCTGGTTTGACTCAAAAGCTGGTTTGACTCAAAAGCTGGTTTGACTCGAAAGCTGGTTTGTCTCGAAAGCTGGTTTGTCTCGAAAGCTGGTTTGCCTCGAAAGCTGGTTTGCCTCGAAAGCTGGTTTGCCTCGAAAGCTGGTTTGCCTCGAAAGCTGGTTTGCCTCGAAAGCTGGTTTGCCTCGAAAGCTGGTTTGCCTCGAAAGCTGGTTTGCCTCGAAAGCTGGTTTGCCTCGAAAGCTGGTTTGCCTCGAAAGCTGGTTTGCCTCGAAAGCTGGTTTGTCTCAAAAGCTGGTTTGTCTCAAAAGCTGGTTTGTCTCAAAAGCTGGTTTGTCTCAAAAGCTGGTTTGTCTCAAAAGCTGGTTTGTCTCAAAAGCTGGTTTGTCTCAAAAGCTGGTTTGTCTCAAAAGCTGGTTTGTCTCAAAAGCTGGTTTGTCTCAAAAGCTGGTTTGTCTCAAAAGCTGGTTTGTCTCAAAAGCTGGTTTGTCTCAAAAGCTGGTTTGTCTCAAAAGCTGGTTTGTCTCAAAAGCTGGTTTGTCTCAAAAGCTGGTTTGTCTCAAAAGCTGGTTTGTCTCAAAAGCTGGTTTGTCTCAAAAGCTGGTTTGTCTCGAAAGCTGGTTTGTCTCGAAAGCTGGTTTGCCTCGAAAGCTGGTTTGCCTCGAAAGCTGGTTTGCCTCGAAAGCTGGTTTGCCTCGAAAGCTGGTTTGCCTCGAAAGCTGGTTTGTCTCGAAAGCTGGTTTGTCTCGAAAGCTGGTTTGCCTCGAAAGCTGGTTTGTCTCGAAAGCTGGTTTGTCTCGAAAGCTGGTTTGTCTCGAAAGCTGGTTTGTCTCAAAAGCTGGTTTGTCTCAAAAGCTGGTTTGTCTCAAAAGCTGGTTTGTCTCAAAAGCTGGTTTGTCTCAAAAGCTGGTTTGACTCAAAAGCTGGTTTGACTCAAAAGCTGGTTTGACTCAAAAGCTGGTTTGACTCAAAAGCTGGTTTGACTCAAAAGCTGGTTTGTCTCAAAAGCTGGTTTGTCTCAAAAGCTGGTTTGTCTCAAAAGCTGGTTTGTCTCAAAAGCTGGTTTGTCTCAAAAGCTGGTTTGTCTCAAAAGCTGGTTTGTCTCAAAAGCTGGTTTGTCTCAAAAGCTGGTTTGTCTCAAAAGCTGGTTTGTCTCAAAAGCTGGTTTGTCTCAAAAGCTGGTTTGTCTCAAAAGCTGGTTTGTCTCAAAAGCTGGTTTGTCTCAAAAGCTGGTTTGTCTCAAAAGCTGGTTTGTCTCAAAAGCTGGTTTGTCTCAAAAGCTGGTTTGTCTCAAAAGCTGGTTTGACTCAAAAGCTGGTTTGACTCAAAAGCTGGTTTGTCTCAAAAGCTGGTTTGTCTCAAAAGCTGGTTTGTCTCAAAAGCTGGTTTGTCTCAAAAGCTGGTTTGTCTCAAAAGCTGGTTTGTCTCAAAAGCTGGTTTGTCTCAAAAGCTGGTTTGACTCAAAAGCTGGTTTGACTCAAAAGCTGGTTTGTCTCAAAAGCTGGTTTGTCTCAAAAGCTGGTTTGTCTCAAAAGCTGGTTTGTCTCAAAAGCTGGTTTGTCTCAAAAGCTGGTTTGTCTCAAAAGCTGGTTTGTCTCAAAAGCTGGTTTGTCTCAAAAGCTGGTTTGTCTCAAAAGCTGGTTTGTCTCAAAAGCTGGTTTGTCTCAAAAGCTGGTTTGTCTCAAAAGCTGGTTTGTCTCAAAAGCTGGTTTGTCTCAAAAGCTGGTTTGTCTCAAAAGCTGGTTTGTCTCAAAAGCTGGTTTGTCTCAAAAGCTGGTTTGTCTCAAAAGCTGGTTTGTCTCGAAAGCTGGTTTGTCTCGAAAGCTGGTTTGTCTCGAAAGCTGGTTTGCCTCGAAAGCTGGTTTGCCTCGAAAGCTGGTTTGTCTCGAAAGCTGGTTTGTCTCGAAAGCTGGTTTGTCTCAAAAGCTGGTTTGTCTCAAAAGCTGGTTTGTCTCAAAAGCTGGTTTGTCTCAAAAGCTGGTTTGTCTCAAAAGCTGGTTTGTCTCAAAAGCTGGTTTGTCTCAAAAGCTGGTTTGTCTCAAAAGCTGGTTTGTCTCAAAAGCTGGTTTGACTCAAAAGCTGGTTTGACTCAAAAGCTGGTTTGACTCAAAAGCTGGTTTGTCTCAAAAGCTGGTTTGTCTCAAAAGCTGGTTTGTCTCAAAAGCTGGTTTGTCTCAAAAGCTGGTTTGTCTCAAAAGCTGGTTTGTCTCAAAAGCTGGTTTGTCTCAAAAGCTGGTTTGTCTCAAAAGCTGGTTTGTCTCAAAAGCTGGTTTGTCTCAAAAGCTGGTTTGTCTCAAAAGCTGGTTTGTCTCGAAAGCTGGTTTGTCTCGAAAGCTGGTTTGCCTCGAAAGCTGGTTTGCCTCGAAAGCTGGTTTGCCTCGAAAGCTGGTTTGCCTCGAAAGCTGGTTTGCCTCGAAAGCTGGTTTGCCTCGAAAGCTGGTTTGTCTCAAAAGCTGGTTTGTCTCAAAAGCTGGTTTGTCTCAAAAGCTGGTTTGTCTCAAAAGCTGGTTTGTCTCAAAAGCTGGTTTGTCTCAAAAGCTGGTTTGTCTCAAAAGCTGGTTTGTCTCAAAAGCTGGTTTGTCTCAAAAGCTGGTTTGTCTCAAAAGCTGGTTTGTCTCAAAAGCTGGTTTGTCTCAAAAGCTGGTTTGTCTCAAAAGCTGGTTTGTCTCAAAAGCTGGTTTGTCTCAAAAGCTGGTTTGTCTCAAAAGCTGGTTTGTCTCAAAAGCTGGTTTGTCTCAAAAGCTGGTTTGTCTCAAAAGCTGGTTTGTCTCAAAAGCTGGTTTGTCTCAAAAGCTGGTTTGTCTCAAAAGCTGGTTTGACTCAAAAGCTGGTTTGTCTCGAAAGCTGGTTTGTCTCGAAAGCTGGTTTGTCTCGAAAGCTGGTTTGTCTCGAAAGCTGGTTTGCCTCGAAAGCTGGTTTGCCTCGAAAGCTGGTTTGCCTCGAAAGCTGGTTTGCCTCGAAAGCTGGTTTGCCTCGAAAGCTGGTTTGCCTCGAAAGCTGGTTTGCCTCGAAAGCTGGTTTGCCTCGAAAGCTGGTTTGTCTCAAAAGCTGGTTTGTCTCAAAAGCTGGTTTGTCTCAAAAGCTGGTTTGTCTCAAAAGCTGGTTTGTCTCAAAAGCTGGTTTGTCTCAAAAGCTGGTTTGTCTCAAAAGCTGGTTTGTCTCAAAAGCTGGTTTGTCTCAAAAGCTGGTTTGTCTCAAAAGCTGGTTTGTCTCAAAAGCTGGTTTGTCTCAAAAGCTGGTTTGTCTCAAAAGCTGGTTTGTCTCAAAAGCTGGTTTGTCTCAAAAGCTGGTTTGTCTCAAAAGCTGGTTTGTCTCAAAAGCTGGTTTGTCTCAAAAGCTGGTTTGTCTCGAAAGCTGGTTTGTCTCGAAAGCTGGTTTGCCTCGAAAGCTGGTTTGCCTCGAAAGCTGGTTTGCCTCGAAAGCTGGTTTGTCTCAAAAGCTGGTTTGTCTCAAAAGCTGGTTTGTCTCAAAAGCTGGTTTGTCTCAAAAGCTGGTTTGTCTCAAAAGCTGGTTTGTCTCAAAAGCTGGTTTGTCTCAAAAGCTGGTTTGTCTCAAAAGCTGGTTTGTCTCAAAAGCTGGTTTGTCTCAAAAGCTGGTTTGACTCAAAAGCTGGTTTGACTCAAAAGCTGGTTTGACTCAAAAGCTGGTTTGTCTCAAAAGCTGGTTTGTCTCAAAAGCTGGTTTGTCTCAAAAGCTGGTTTGTCTCAAAAGCTGGTTTGTCTCAAAAGCTGGTTTGTCTCAAAAGCTGGTTTGTCTCAAAAGCTGGTTTGTCTCAAAAGCTGGTTTGTCTCAAAAGCTGGTTTGTCTCAAAAGCTGGTTTGTCTCAAAAGCTGGTTTGTCTCGAAAGCTGGTTTGTCTCGAAAGCTGGTTTGCCTCGAAAGCTGGTTTGCCTCGAAAGCTGGTTTGCCTCGAAAGCTGGTTTGCCTCGAAAGCTGGTTTGCCTCGAAAGCTGGTTTGCCTCGAAAGCTGGTTTGTCTCAAAAGCTGGTTTGTCTCAAAAGCTGGTTTGTCTCAAAAGCTGGTTTGTCTCAAAAGCTGGTTTGTCTCAAAAGCTGGTTTGTCTCAAAAGCTGGTTTGTCTCAAAAGCTGGTTTGTCTCAAAAGCTGGTTTGTCTCAAAAGCTGGTTTGTCTCAAAAGCTGGTTTGTCTCAAAAGCTGGTTTGACTCAAAAGCTGGTTTGACTCAAAAGCTGGTTTGACTCAAAAGCTGGTTTGTCTCAAAAGCTGGTTTGTCTCAAAAGCTGGTTTGTCTCAAAAGCTGGTTTGTCTCAAAAGCTGGTTTGTCTCAAAAGCTGGTTTGTCTCAAAAGCTGGTTTGTCTCAAAAGCTGGTTTGTCTCAAAAGCTGGTTTGTCTCAAAAGCTGGTTTGTCTCAAAAGCTGGTTTGTCTCAAAAGCTGGTTTGTCTCAAAAGCTGGTTTGTCTCAAAAGCTGGTTTGTCTCAAAAGCTGGTTTGTCTCAAAAGCTGGTTTGTCTCAAAAGCTGGTTTGTCTCAAAAGCTGGTTTGTCTCAAAAGCTGGTTTGACTCAAAAGCTGGTTTGACTCAAAAGCTGGTTTGTCTCAAAAGCTGGTTTGTCTCAAAAGCTGGTTTGTCTCAAAAGCTGGTTTGTCTCAAAAGCTGGTTTGTCTCAAAAGCTGGTTTGTCTCAAAAGCTGGTTTGTCTCAAAAGCTGGTTTGTCTCAAAAGCTGGTTTGTCTCAAAAGCTGGTTTGTCTCAAAAGCTGGTTTGTCTCAAAAGCTGGTTTGTCTCAAAAGCTGGTTTGTCTCAAATAAGAGCTGGGGGTGCAGCATAAGAGAGGTGTATGTGAAGGAATGGATGTGTAGTATGAGGGGCAGATGGCGATGAGGTGCATGGAGCTGACTCACGCATGCATGTGCATGTGCATGTGTATGTGCATGTGCATACCCACACATAAGCCGAATGGCAGATTGGGGGTGGGGAGTGAAGGAAGCGAGGGAGAGAATAGGGGGGTAAGAAAAGGGAAAGAGAAAGGAGGGAGAGAGGGAGTGCAGGAGAAACACGGAGAGATGACATTAAGAGGGAAAGAAGCAACGACGGAGAGGGAATGAGGAGGGTGGGTGCAAACCTTCTTCTTGATGCCCTTGGTTTGGAACTGCTGCCACGTGTTCTGCTTCTTGTTGGTCATCACCTCTAACATTTCCATCCGCTGCTTCGACTTGAACGCATGGATCTTCCGCTTCTTCTCCGCTCTCTGGGAGGGAAGGAGGGAGAATGGATACCAATAGAGGGCACGGGACAGACAGGAATGCGCGTAAATCCCTGCTGCCACGTGTTCTGCTTCTTGTTTGTCATCACCTCTAACATCTCCATGTGCTGCTTCGACTTGAACACGTGGAGCTTCCGCCTCTTCTCTGCTTTCTGGGGGGGAAAGGACGGGGAGAAGGGATACGGTTACAGGAGATGGGACAGAAACGAGTGATTGTGCATCTTGTTCTCTTGTTCTCTTGTTCTCCTGCGCTTAAAGCCGGTGATTGTGCATCTTGTTCTCTTGAGCTTAAAGCCGGTGATTGTGCATCTTGTTCTCTTGCGCTTAAAGCCGGTGATTGTGCATCTTGTTCTCTTGCGCTTTAAGCCGGTGATTGTGCATCTTGTTCTCTTGCGCTTTAAGCCGGTGATTGTGCATCTTGTTCTCTTGTACTCTTGCGCTTTAAGCCGGTGATTTTGCATCTTGTTCTCTTGTTCTCTTGCGCTTTAAGCCGGCGATTGTGCATCTTGTTCTCTGCTTTCTTGTGAGAAGAACAGGGGAAGAACAGAGGACGCACAAGGAAAGGGAGCAAAGAATGTAAGACAAGGGAAACGGATAGAGGACAGTGGACGGGAGGCGAGGAAAACAGGAAACACTCCAAGCACGGAGAACAGAGAAAAGGGGACGTTACAAGACATAAGAGAGAGTAGCAACTGACCTAAAACCACCAGCAATGTCACCTCAGCAGGAATTAGAGCCAGAGTGTGGAGTCCACAACCCTCACCTCACTCCCGTCACCCCTCTGCACCGCACTCACCACGTCCTCCGAGTCCTCCAGTTTGATCCTCAGCTTGAGCGGAATCTCCAGCCTCGGGCGAGTGAGAGCAGCAATGTTACTTTAGCAAAGTAACGTAACATCACCACAAGGCACTAACCCTCACTCCTCTGCACCAATCTGCACCCCTCTGCACCGCACTCACCACGTCCTCCGAGTCCTCCGGTTTGATCCTCAGCTTCAGCGGAATCTCCTTCTTGACCAGCTCCGTCCTGGAAGCTTCCTCCATCTTCCTTTTGAGCGCTCTCCTCGTCTCATCTGCCTCTCTCTCGACCGCTGCCAGTGCCTCCTGTGCTCGCCGCCTTGCATCCTCCTCGCTCTCCTCCACCCGCCGTACTCTTGTTTCACGCACCTGCAGGAATTATGTGGTGTGTGTGAGAGGGGGAAGAGGGGAGGGGGGTGTCAGATGGTGTGTGGTTGAAGTGGGGTGTGCGTGCTTGCGTGTGTGTGTGTGTGCTCTCCTCGTCTCATCTGCCTCTCTCTCCAAGGCAGCTAGTGCCTCCTGTGCTCGCTTCCTCGCGTCTTCTTCGCTCTCCTCCACCCTCCGCACTCTTGTCTCTCGCACCTGCAGGTGGGAGGGGGTTGGGAGGGGTTGAGGGTGGTGGTAAAGTGGTGTGTCTGTGCCGAGTATCATCTGCCTCTCTCTCCACGGCTGCCAGTGCCTCCTGTGCTCGCTTCCTCGCGTCCTCCTCGCTCTCCTCCACTCGACGCACTCTCGCCTCGAGGTGGCGTGTGTGTGTGAAGCGGCGCGCGTGTATGTGTCGGCCAAACAGCTGCAGCCGTTACGTCTTTTCAAACGTTGACAAACGAACCAAGAAACCCGCCGTGCACACGAGTGCACAAAGCAAGATGTGAGCTTACACGAGTGCACAAAGCAAGATGTGAGCTTACACGAGTGCACAAAGCAAGATGTGAGCTTACACGAGTGCACAAAGCAAGATGTGAGCTTACACGAGTGCACAAAGCAAGATGTGAGCTTACACGAGTGCACAAAGCAAGATGTGAGCTTACACGAGTGCACAAAGCAAGATGTGAGCTTACACGAGTGCACAAAGCAAGATGTGAGCTTACACGAGTGCACAAAGCAAGATGTGAGCTTACACGAGTGCACAAAGCAAGATGTGAGCTTACACGAGTGCACAAAGCAAGATGTGAGCTTACACGAGTGCACAAAGCAAGATGTGAGCTTACACGAGTGCACAAAGCAAGATGTGATGTGCATAATATCTTGGGCGCGAGCAAATGTAAGGTGAGAGGGAAAGGAGAAGTTTGAGAGGAGGCTATGAGGGGAGAGAGAAAGTTGAGAAAAGGCATCAAGAGTGGGAGCGCATGAGGGGTGGGAGCGCATGAGGGGTGGGAGTGCAAGAGTGGGAGAGAAATAGCGAGCACAGAAGTGTGTGTGGAGGCGAATGAAAACAATACCTCGTGCATCTGCCCGCCTGCATCGCGCACCACGTAGCCCCCCATCGCCACACTGTCCACCTTTCACATTGGTGCATACGAGGGTGTTCAAGACCCTGGTGCACTGTCCTTTGGTGAACGAGGAAAGTGCGAGGGGAGAGACGGGACCTGTCCTTTGTGAGTGCCTTACCTCGTGCATCTGCCCGCCTGCATCGCGCACCACGTAGCCCCCCGTGGTTACACTGTCCACCACACCGTCAAGCCTGGCAGGGAGGGAGAGAGCAGTGGAGGGAGCAGGAGGAGCAGTGAAGGTAGGAAGAGGAGGAAGGATGAGTAGCAGGGAGGGGTAAAGAGCATCTACGTGGTGCTCTCTGTGCAGGCGGGCACAGAGAGCACCGCATAGCCTCCCGTGGTCACGCCGCTGTTCACCTCACCACACCCTCAAGCCTGGCATCCAGCCCATCCCACCATGCAACCCCTCACCATCCATCTCCAGCCATCCAGCCCCTCACTCACCACTCGGAGCTGCGAATGCCGCCAGCAGCAGAGCCAGCAATCACCCCCCACGCCGCCTGCGTTGCTAAGTTGGAAAATACGCGGACCCGGGCCAGGCGGGCAGGTTAAAATAATTCAGGGCAGGAAAAATGTCGAGGTGGGGATGGGCGAGGCGCAAAGCAGCAACATTCCCCCATTCAGCAACCTCACATCGTTAAGATTCAGGTCGAATTTAAGAATTAGGTCGACATTAAAGTTTAGGTCGACCTTAAAGCCCGTGTCCCAAATTGCGGACCGCGAGAGTCAAGTTTTTTAAACTTGACGAAGTTGAGTTTGTGTCCAAGCTTTTGAAAGTCACGCACCTGCAATTTGGGACTTTCGAAGACAGATTCACTCACCAGGGGGGAAAACGAGGGTTGGCTGAGTCTCGCGAAAAAAACGAACCTAGACGAAATCGGAAACTCTCGCCAAAGCCCACACCAGAAAAACTCCCTCTGGTCAACTTTTAAAAGCATGAACAATTTGGGCTGCCGGCTTTAAGAACAAAGTCGACATTGAGAACTAAGTCGACATGAAGAATTAAGTCGACAGCTTAGGTATTAAGTGTGTTATATGCAAACTCATATGAGATTATTTCCAACTTAGCTGCATTGCTGTGCCACTTGAATCCGTGACTATCAGCAAACAGGCTGTTAAGAAGGACTCTTGTAGCGTGTTTTATGAGGACCAAGAACTGCATTAAGCTAAAAAAGAGTTTGCAAAGTAGGCGCACTCGCTGCTTAAGGCTTCAGGGGGCGATGGTTCGGAAATTGGTTCCGACCTTAGCAGCATCTGCAATGACGCTAATATGGTTGCTTCCGAGACTTGCAACACAAGCAGTGACTTGTCTGACAGCAGCTGCAGCAGCCAGAGCTTCAAGAAGGAGCCTACCACTTACAGTGCTGCCAACAGCCTTTGCAGCCGCGACTACAAGTTCAACTACAACTGTTGTAGCAACAGGCAAACTTATAGTTGTTGCTGCAAAGGCTATCGGCAGCACTGGAACTGGTAGGTCCCTCCTTGGAGCTCTAGCCACTGCAGCCGCTGTCAGACAAGTCACTCCTTGTGTTGCAAGACTCAAGATCAACCATTTTAGCGTCACTGCAGCAGATGCTACTCAGGTCCAAATCGATTTCCGAGCCATCGCCCTCCAAAACCTCACACAACGAGTGCGATTGCTCTGCGAACTCTTCTTTAGCTTGTTGCACTTCTTCGTCCTCATAAAACACGCTACATGAGTCCTTCTCCTAAACAGTAACATGGTGAGTTGTAGAGGGGAGCCCTTTTCTCACTGTAGGAGGCTAAGGGTGCGAAACGGGCTCCTCACTGCAAAGAGAAACGAAGTGACTCTCAGCTACCGCGACTCTTCTCTCCTCTCAAGCAACCCCCTCTCAGACCACCCCCTCTCAGACCACCCCCTCTCAGACCACCCCCTCTCAGACCACCCCCTCTCAGACCACCCCCTCTCAGACAACTCCGTCTCACACCACACCCTCTCAGACCATCCCCACTCAGTCCACCCCCTCTCGGACCATCCCCTCTTAAACCATCCCCTCTCAGACCATCCCCTCTCGGGTCATCCCCTCTCAGACCATCCCCTCTCGGACCATCCCCTCTCAGACCATCCCCTCTCGGACCATCCCTCCATCCCGTCTTGAACCATCCCCTCTTGGACCATCCCCACTCACCACTTGTTACGGCCGCAGCAGCAGTGTCAGGACCAAGGCTCCACACAGCGTGCATTTAACCCCTCACACCCACCATGCATGTGACCCACCATGCATGTGACCCACCATGCATGTGACCCACCATGCATGTGACCCACCATGCATGTGACCCACCATGCATGTGACCCACCATGCATGTGACCCACCATGCATGTGACCCACCATGCATGTCACCCACCATGCATGTGACCCACCATGCATGTGACCCACCATGCATGTGACCCACCATGCATGTGACCCACCATGCATGTGACCCACCATGCATGTGACCCACCATGCATGTGACCCACCATGCATGTGACCCACCATGCATGTGACCCACCATGCATGTGACCCACCATGCATGTGACCCACCATGCATGTGACCCACCATGCATGTGACCCACCATGCATGTGACCCACCATGCATGTGACCCACCATGCATGTCACCCACCATGCATGTCACCCACCATGCATGTGACCCACCATGCATGTGACCCACCATGCATGTGACCCACCATGCATGTGACCCACCATGCATGTGACCCACCATGCATGTGACCCACCATGCATGTCACCCACCATGCATGTGACCCACCATGCATGTGACCCACCATGCATGTGACCCACCATGCATGTGACCCACCATGCATGTGACCCACCATGCATGTGACCCACCATGCATGTGACCCACCATGCATGTGACCCACCATGCATGTGACCCACCATGCATGTGACCCACCATGCATGTGACCCACCATGCATGTGACCCACCATGCATGTGACCCACCATGCATGTGATCCACCATGCATGTGATCCACCATGCATGTGACCCACCATGCATGTCACCCACCATGCATGTCACCCACCATGCATGTCACCCACCATGCATGTCACATGCATGTCACCCACCATGCATGTGACCCACCATGCATGTGACCCACCATGCATGTGACCCACCATGCATGTGACCCACCATGCATGTGACCCACCATGCATGTGACCCACCATGCATGTGACCCACCATGCATGTGCATGCATGTGACCCACCATGCATGTGACCCACCATGCATGTGACCCACCATGCATGTGACCCACCATGCATGTGACCCACCATGCATGTGACCCACCATGCATGTGACCCACCATGCATGTGACCCACCATGCATGTGACCCACCATGCATGTGACCCACCATGCATGTGACCCACCATGCATGTCACCCACCATGCATGTCACCCACCATGCATGTCACCCACCATGCATGTCACCCACCATGCATGTGACCCACCATGCATGTGACCCACCATGCATGTGACCCACCATGCATGTCACCCACCATGCATGTCACCCACCATGCATGTGACCCACCATGCATGTGACCCACCATGCATGTGACCCACCATGCATGTGACCCACCATGCATGTGACCCACCATGCATGTGACCCACCATGCATGTCACCCACCATGCATGTGACCCACCATGCATGACACCCACCATGCATGTGACCCACCATGCATGTGACCCACCATGCATGTCACCCACCATGCATGTGACCCACCATGCATGTGACCCACCATGCATGTGACCCACCATGCATGTGACCCACCATGCATGCGACCCACCATGCATGTGACCCACCATGCATGTGATCCACCATGCATGTGACCCACCATGCATGTGACCCACCATGCATGTGACCCACCATGCATGTGACCCACCATGCATGTGACCCACCATGCATGTCACCCACCATGCATGTGACCCACCATGCATGTGACCCACCATGCATGTGACCCACCATGCATGTGACCCACCATGCATGTGACCCACCATGCATGTGACCCACCATGCATGTCACCCACCATGCATGTCACCCACCACCATTCCCTCTCACCACATGCGAGGACCATGGCTCCACGCTGTGTGCACTTAACCCTGCTCACCACTCGGAGCTGCGAATGCAGCCAGCGACAGTGCCGGCAGTCACGCCCCACGCCGCCTGCATTGTGCACTGCAAAACTCGCTAACTACCAACCAGCAACCCCTCGCATCCCACCATCCAACCCTCTCACTCACCACTCGGTGCTGCGAATGCCGCCAGCAGCAGTGCCGGCAGTCACACCCCACGCTGCCTGCATTGACGTGCCCACCGCGATCCAAGACAACACCGCTGACCCCCCTGCTGCTGGGCCCCACTGCCTGCTGCTAGCCCTCCATCCCACCCCTCGCTCTCACTCACCATTCGGAGCTGCGAATACCGCCAGCAGCAGTGCCAGCGGTGACACCCCACGCCGCCTGCACCGATGTGCCCACTGCGATCCGAGACGACACCGCTACTGCTGCTGCTGCTGGACCGCCTGCTGCTCCTGCGGCCGCGGCTGCTGCTAAGGCTGCTGGGTCAGTGGTCTGAAAAGCAATGGGTTTGCACGGACGTATGCGCAGGGCAAGTCTGGAAGAGTGAGGGGTGGATTAGGAAGAATCTAGAGTGAATGCGTTTCTTGAGGGGGGTGCCGAAAGGACTGAAATGTTTGGTTGAATCAAGATTTGAAGGGAAAGGATGAGTGAGGGCAAGGGGGGGAGAGAGACAGCATGCTGGCATGCGGCGGCGAGTGTTCATAAGTGAGGGGTGGATGAGGAAGGAAGGACACGTGAGGGGCATGTCAGGGGCGGTGCAAGACTGCGAAATACCGATGATCTGGATTGCGATTCTCAAAGAAGGGTGACGCATGCGATGCACGCGGTGGGTGAGAACAAGTTACAATTGCAATAAGATGCGGTGGAATCCTTGAGGATAAGATGCGGATGTAGTGTAGAGGGTGGGGGACGGCACACTGATGGCGCTCAGCTCACAACAACAGACGTGGCCGGCACAAATGCCATGGGAACAAACGGAGTGGCAAGCGCAGCAGCTGCACCCCCTGCTGCATCTGGTGGTGGCTCTTCCTGCGTCTGCTGCTCCGCTGCACTGAGAAGGTCCTCTGTGAGCTCGATGACCTGCCAGGGAGGGGAAAGGAGTGACAGGGAGACCTTTGAGTTTACTCAAACTCAAAAGTCACGAGGAATGAGGTGGAATAAGAAATGTGGAGAGTGGCGGCCCCTCCTGCGTCTGCTGCTCCGCTGCACTCAGCAGATCCTCTGTGAGCTCGATGACCTGGCAGAAGAGGGGTGGGGGGAAGAATGAGATGGAATGAGGAGTGTGTGGAGTGTGCAGAGTGTGGCGGTTCCCCCTGTGTCTGCTGCTCTGCTGCACTCAGCAGCAGGTGCTCTGTGAGCTCAATAACCTGCCAAAGGGAAGGAGTGCCAAGGTGACTTCTAAGCCGACAACAAGGAATGAGATGGAATGAGCGGTGTGCAAATTGTGCGAGCCTCCTGCATCTGCTGCTCCGCTGCACTCAGCAGGTGTTCTGCGATCGTGATGACCTGGCATGGCAAGGAGGGGGGGGATGGAGTAAGGTGGAATGAAGAGTGCATGGAGTGGAGCATATAAAGTGAGTGTGGAGTGTGTGTGTGGAGTGTGTGTGTGGAGTGTGTGCGTGGAGTGTGTGTGTGACGAGTGTGGGCCTAATGACCTGGACGATGAGAGCGGGGGAAAGGGTGAGTGAGTGAGCTCGAAGGCGAGAGCAAAGAGTGGGTTTAGTCAAGAGCAATGACGAGGCAGCAGCGGGTGAGAATGGGCGCTGCAGCGCACGAATGGAACCATGCAAGCAGGTAGTGACTGGAACTTATATCATATCTTCATATATCTTCATATCTATATATATAAACTTCAGGCATTGCGGGCAGGGAGAAGCAGTTATGAAGGAAAAGGTGTTATGCAGGGTTGTCGCAGAATATAATGGTAAGTGCATCATATTCTGCACATATGCTAATTGGGGTGTAGAGTGGTGTAGCAATTGCTATTCAATTTGTGTGTGGGGTAGTTAAGTTATTGGGGAAAGCGAGAAAATGGTAGCATGGGGCATTGCAGGGCGCTCCGGGAAGAATTTCAGGGACCTCGGGAAATTCAGGAGCGAAATCCAAGGCCCCTGAAATTTCAGGGACCTCGGGATTGGAAATCTGACGAGGGCCAATCCAAGGCCCAGGCGGCTCGAGCTCGACCCATCACGCTGAGTAACTCGCGACAGGGGAGACAAGCACAAGTAGCCCAGCCTAGCAGAGCAGGGGAGACAAGCACAAGTAGCCCAGCCTAGCATAGCAGGGGAGACAAGCACAAGTAGCCCAGCCTAGCATAGCAGGGGAGACAAGCACAAGTAGCCCAGCCTAGCATAGCAGGGGAGACAAGCACAAGTAGCCCAGCCTAGCATAGCAGGGGAGACAAGCACAAGTAGCCCAGCCTAGCATAGCAGGGGAGACAAGCACAAGTAGCCCAGCCTAGCATAGCAGGGGAGACAAGCACAAGTAGCCCAGCCTAGCATAGCAGGGGAGAACAGGTCTGCTACGCTATGTGGGAGTGGCTGAGGAAGGGGCAACTGCACAGGTGGGAGAAGGCAGGGCTAGAAGGAATACAGGAAGGTAAGAGCAGAGAAGGCAGGGAGAGGAAGGCAGGGACAAGTAAGAGCAAGGAAGGAAGGAAGGAACTCCGACAGGGTGGATTTGAAATTCTAAAAAACATCCGCGATATAAAGGTGTTACGTTACGAGAAATCTCACCTCCTTGAGGCCACTGGCCATCTCCTTGTACTCGTCATTGTCAGGATCCTCTAATAGCAACTCCGAGACCTGTTATAGGGGCAGCAGTTGAGCACATAGCAATGACCAAGGAGAGAAGCTGGCTTGGCGGAATTCAGAGAAACAAACAAAAAAACAAAATGGTTTCGGGGGTTTTGATTGAGAGACGCATGGAGCAGCAGAGTGGGTGAGAATGCGCGCGGGCACATAAACAACAAGGAAGGAAATCAGTCAACTTGCATCTCCTCCCTCAGCTTCTTCCCTTCCCTACATTCTCCCCAGCACCAATGGATCGCACTCACCTGCTCTAGCTGCTCCCTGTACGTGCTCAGATTCTCCCGGAGTTCTTCCACGCTCTGCATGCTGCCTGGAGAGGGGGGGAATGGGAGCGCAGGGAGACAGGAACGGGGAAAGGAGGAACTTTGAGATAGCTTGTTGAAATACTCGGCCTTCTTTCGGTTATCCTCTGCATGCTGCCTGGATGGACGGGGCCCGGGTGGGGGGGGTGAAGAGCGGGGAGGGTGTGCGGGGAAGGGGGAGCAGAGTGGGTGGAAGCAATGCAGATTAAGGGCCCCGATGTGCTCGTTAATTGACTGGTTAGAGCACATGGAGGGTCGGGAGGGCTTCTGGAAAGTAGAAAGTTGGTTTCTGGTATAGGGTTGGATTCTGGGATAGGGTTGGATTCTGGGATAGGGTTGGATTCTGGGATAGTGATTCTAACAAAAATCGCCCAACTCTCGGCCACGCCACGCCTTTCCTACTGGCTGGATGGGGTTGCGGGGGAGAGAGGTGGGGGAGGGGGGATGGGAGGGGCGGCGGTGGGGTGAGGGGGGAAGGTGGCCACGGACTTGTTGGAACGATTTTTGAGTCGACTCAAAAAGGGTCTCAGACAGAATTTTAACGTGCCGCGCATTGGCGGCAGAGCTGATCCCTGTCGCTACTTGCGTGAGAGTAGGAACGAGGGGGGGTGTGGGGGAGATCGCAGCGGAACGCACCGCGTTTAGAGGGAATCGGTAGTGGATCAGGCTTCGGAGTGAGGAGTCACCTCGTGAATGAGCTGACCGCTTAGTTGACTATGTGACCCCAGCTCGTTATCCCGTAGCGTCGGTTACTCCTCGCGCGCTACCGGGCGCTCCTCGCGACGCAGCTCGGTGCCCAGGATTTTACCGCAGCAGCTTGTAACGGATCAGAACCTTGCCCGTGTCTCGCGTGAACGCGAACACGGAAATCAGTGACGCCGTCTGCCCTAGAGCACTGGGCGGAGCGGGGCGTATGAAGGTCGCAGCGCCGCGTTCCTAACCCTGGTGTAGTCTGCAGGGGTTACAGGTATTGTTCGAACTCGTGATACTCCTGGTCGCAAGTTGCGGATCGTGGTGATTTTTGAACTTGCGCGTCAGGCAGGGAACGAACACTCATAGGCTGACGAACATGCCTTGTTCCGACGAAGTGGTGGTATCTATTTGCGAAGGGTCGTTGACAGTTTTCGTCAATGACGACCGTTCGCAAAATAAAACATGAACGCGATATAAACCGGACGAAAAGCAATGTTCGAGTTTTTGTTCCCGTAACCACCAAGCGAACTTCAGCAAGCACCTCACCAATGCTGCACCCAGTGTTGCACAATCCACACAATGTGTGGGAACCACGAAACTAAGGCGCTGTTCTGTAGGCGTTAAATTTCCAGAAACCGGGTCCGCAGAATCTTCGTAGATAAGCGGTATTCTGCCTATCAAGGTTTGGAGATAAGTCAGGCCCTACCAAACCTGTTCGCGCCAATTTTGACGCCTCAGCCTGCAGAACACCACGTATGGGGCGTGCAAATTCAACCGTCCGTCTGCAGGTTCGAAGTTGTTGCTTCGCCGGGCAAATGGTCGCACAACTAGTGCGGTGCTGATTCTACCTCGGGAGCTAGCGTCAGCCTCCGCACAAGTTATGCGAGGCAGCAACATCCGCGCAATGCAACCAGCTCGAATGCGTCCAGAAATTACACGGAATGCTACCGCGGTCAATTGGCGCGGGGCCAATAACGCCTGCAGAACAACGCCTAAGTTTTTTCGCCAAAGACGCGAGATCCTTTAGCTTTGGGCGAGTCACGGTTCGTGTGATGTGGTCCGGTGCGTTAGAAACGGTTTGAAGACGATTCTGTTTTTTCACCGCCGCGAACCGTTTCTTTATCGTGTTTAACGTACTTGACCGCATTTAACGAAACAGGAACATGACCCGCCCTAGACTTTTTGGATCTTGGACATCCGAATTTCTTCCAGAACTGTTCGCGACGCGACGTGGTAGCCATTTTGTGATTATGTGAGTTAGAGTTGTTCCTATATTGGACAGAGTATCAGGCACTGCCTGGCCTACTCAGTTGCCTTTGCCAGTGTCCATACACCTCCTTCGAAGCGCGACGAGATTATTCCCCAGAATTAACTCGTATAGATCACCACTCCTCGCAACCACCACCATGATCTCGGCTAAGGAGCTGAAGGAGTTAGAGTCTCTGGAAAGGCAATTAAAGCCGATCGCCGGTAAACGCGGCGGAGGTCCCGAGGTACGCTCTTAGCGATTGTCCACTTGCCTTGTTAGCCGAATCTGTGGGGAATCGCGTCATTCAGAGCTAGTTTGTTGGCTTTTTTGGTGGGGGATGGGGAGGGGGGAAAGAGGGGTGGAGAGGAGGAGGAGGGGGGGAGTGGGTTGGGGAGGGGGAAAGAGATTTTTGGTGCGCAGCCCACGAATCGAAGGATTCGCGTATTCGCCTTGCGCCTCGTCTCCGCCCTTCCTCCCGCACCTCCTGTTCCTCCCACACGCGCCCAGCACCGGCGCGAGGCGCGGCGGCAGCTATCATCGTGCTGCCCGTCTCCCTCCCGCACATCCCCCCCCACCCTTCCCCCTCAACCGCCTTCCGCATGCGCCCAGCACCCGCGCGAGGTGCGGCGGCTGCTTGCTCGAGGCCCCTCCGCCGCTTGACTGTCTCTAATCCTCTATCACTCCCCCACCCACCCCTTTCCAACCCACCCCGCACCCTCTTCCCTCCCCCACCCCCTCTCCCCATCCCTTCTTCCCACTCCGTTTCCCCCATCTCCCAGACGTCCGCCTCCAAGTACCTGCGGGAGGTGCGGCGGCTCTGTGCTTAAGACCCCCCCTCCTTCTCTTCCCCCCGAATACCCCCTTCCCTCCCCCCCCCCGCCCCCTCTCCTCCCCCTCCTCTCAGACGTGCGCCAAGTACCTGCGGGAGGCACGATGACTGTGTGTTAAGGCTTCGCCCTCCTTCCTCCCCGTTTTCCCTTTCCCTCCTTCCTCCCCGCCTCCCCTTTCCCTCCCTCCTCCCCCCACCAGACGTGCGCCAAGTACTGCTGGTAAAAGGGAGGTGCGGCGGCTGGTGCTTGAGGCATCGCCACCACGTGTGTGTCTGTTGCTCATCCTTATCCCCCTCCTCCTTTTCCTCCCCAACCCCCCCGCCGTTAACCCCCCTCTTCAGACCTGCGCCAAGTACCTGCGGGAGGCGGCTGGTGCGTGAGGCCTCCCCTCCCCCTCTTCTCCGCCTTAATAATCCTTTCCTCCCCCCACTGCCCCCTCCGTCCCCCACCCCCCAAAGACCTGCGCCAAGTACCTGCGGGAGGTGCGGCGGCTGCGGCTGCGGCGGCCGTTTCAAGTGGCGGAGTATGGCATGGCTCTTATAAACAGTGCGGATGAGAGGAGCAAGCTGGGGGACGAAGGTGAGGAGGAAGCTTATAAGGGGTGCATACGAGAGGGGTTTTAATTCAAGTGGCAGAGTATGGCATGGCATTGATTAACTGTGCGGAAGAAAGAAGCAAGCTGGGAGATGAAGTTGAGGAGGCTTATAACGGGTATGGGAGAGTGCTTATGAGTAGTATGGCATGGCGCTGATTAACAGAGAGGAGGAGAGGAGCAGGCTGGGAGACGAAGGTGAGGATGCTTATAACGGCTCTAGGAGGGTGCTTATGAGGAGTATGGCATGGCTCTCATCAACAGTGCAGAGGAGAGGAGCAAGCTGGGAGACGAAGTTGAGGATGCTTTTAACGGGTTTGAGAGGGCGATTGTAAGGAGTATGGCATGGCGCTGAACAGCTCGGTGCGAAAATGCAGAAGAATCTGGGATAGTTGGAGAGGGTGCTTGGGAAGAGAATGGCATGGCGCTGTGAGGAAGCTTATAAGGGGTATTACTGCAGACAGGATGCTGACTTGTGCGGTAGAGAGACGGGGGGAGTTGGTCTCATAAGATGGTGTGTTCCCTGCTGCGCCTGCCATTCCGCATTCTCCCACTTTCATGCCTTTCCCCCTGCGTTTTGACGCCCCGGACTTCATCTGCTTTCGCTTGCATGGCATGGCGTGGCATGGCATGGCATGGCATGGCATGGCATGGCATGTCATGACTCCGCAGGACATGCCTTACCCCATCGTGCATAATCCCTTATCTTGCTGTATTCCTCATGCCGCATTCCACTGTGCTACATCCTTCCATCCCCCCTGCACCGTGTTTCACTGCGTGGCACCATGCTGCACCGCACTGCACCACTTCCAGTGTGGGATGTGATGGAGCAGGTGGCAATCGCGGCCATGGACTGCCAACAGCTGGGCATCGCCAAGGTGGGGGTGGGAAGGTGGGGGGGGAGACATGGAGAGGGGGCATGTGGAGGGGGGCATTGGCATTGGTAGGTAAGAGTGCCATGGGGGGTGGGGTTGCTGCAAGCAGCAGGTGGCAATCGCAGCCATGGACTGCCAGCAGCTGGGCATCGCCAAGGTGGGGCTTGGAGGGGGGTAGGGTGGGGTATAGGAAGGGGGTATGGGAAGAGGGGAAGGGGAGGGAGGCATGGGTAGGGAGGCATGGGGAGGGAGGTATGGGGAGGGGTGCAGGAGATGGGGTGTTGGGCCATGGAGCAGGTTGCGATCGTGGCTATGGACTGCCAGCAGCTGGGCATCGCCAAGGTGAGGCGAGGATGGGGAGGCAGCAAGCAGGATAGGCCATGTGGAGGGAGCATAGAGATGGATGCCATGGGGAGTGTGTTGCGAGAAGCAGGTGAGGGATGGGTGAAGAAGCATGCAGGAAGGAAGTGGTTGGTTGGACCATCGGGAGCTACTGTGTCATTTCTTCTGCCCCTGGCTAGTTTCTGAGTCAAAACGAACAAAGAAGGAGGGGCCATTGCAAGGCCCCGGTGTGACATTGCTGGCACGGCACGGCATGGCATGGTTGGACTGCCACCAACCGCCACCACCAGCTGGTCTTAGCATGGCGCACTCATGATTGCTTTTTAAAGCAAACCGCATTGCTGGCATGGCATGGTTGGACTGTCCCGCCACCTGGTCGTAACATGGAACTCTCATAAGTGCATTCTGCCATGCAAACCGCATTGCACCGTTCCTAACAGCTACGTTCATGCATTGGGTTGTGTGGTGTGCATGGCAGGAGTGCATAGGAGCTTTCGTGATTGCATTCTACCATGCGAACCCCATTGCACCGCTCCTAACAGCTTCTTACCTAACAGCTACCTACATACCATGGGTTGTGTGGTGTGCATGCATGGCAGGAGTGCATAGGAGCTCTCATGATCGCATTCCCCAACAGCTCTCGCGTGGGTGAGACGCTGCACCGCTCC